ATCCAAACCTTGGAGACGATTTCAGCAGTATTTACAAGACTGCCAAGGAACAGGGAATCCATTCTTTGGAAGTCCTGGTCACCCAAGAGGATGACTTCAACAACAGGCTGTCCTTGCTGATGACTACCGCACTATCAAGGAGCTGCTTGATGGAGGAGCCAACCCCCTGCAGAGGAATGAAATGGGACACACACCCTTGGATTATGCCCGAGAAGGGGAAGTGATGAAACTTCTGAGGACTTCTGAAGCCAAGTACCAAGAGAAGCAGTGAAAGCGTGAGTCTGAGGAGCGGCGCCACTTCCCCCTGGAGCAGCGACTGAAGGAGCACATCATTGGCCAGGAGAGCGCCATCGCCACAGTGGGTGCTGCGATCCGGAGGAAGGAGAATGGCTGGTACGATGAAGAACACCCTCTGGTCTTCCTCTTCTTGGGATCATCTGGAATAGGAAAAACAGAGCTGGCCAAGCAGACAGCCAAATATATGCACAAAGATGCTAAAAAGGGCTTCATCAGGCTGGACATGTCCGAGTTCCAGGAGCGACACGAGGTGGCCAAGTTTATCGGGTCCCCACCAGGCTACATCGGCCATGAGGAGGGTGGCCAGCTGACCAAGAAGTTGAGGCAGTGCCCCAATGCTGTGGTGCTCTTTGATGAAGTAGACAAGGCCCATCCAGATGTGCTCACCATCATGCTGCAGCTGTTTGATGAGGACAGACTGACAGATGGAAAAGGGAAGACCATTGATTGCAAGGGCACCATCTTCATCATGATCTCCAATGTGGCCAGCGATGAGATCGCACAGCACGCACTGCAGCTGGGGCAGGAAGCTTTGGAGATGAGCCATAACCATATTGCCGAAAACCTGGGAGATGTCCACATAAGTGACAAGATCACCATCTTAAAGAACTTCTAGGAGAATGTGATTCGCCCTATCCTGAAAGCTCACTTCTGGAGGAATGAGTTTCTGGGACGGATCAATGAGATCGTCTATTTCCTCCCCTTCTGCCACTCAGAGCTCATCCAACTCGTCAACAAGAAACTAAACTTCCAGGCAAGAGAGCCAAGCAAAGACACAACATCATTCTGCTCTGGGACCGCAAGGTGGCAGACGTGCTGGTCGACGGCTACAACGTGCAGTATGGCGCCCGCTCCATCAAACATGAGGTAGAGCGCTCTGTGGTGAACCAGCTGGCAGCAGCCTATGAGCAGGACCTGCTACCAGGCGGCTGCACTCTGCACATCACAGTGGAGCACTCAGACAAGCAGCTACTCAAGAGCCCAGAACTGCCCTCACCTCAGGCTGAGAAGCGCCTCCCCAAGCTGCGGCTGGAGATCATCGACAAGGACAACAAGACTCGCAAACTGGACATCCAGGCACCAATGCATCCTGAAAGGGTGTGTAACATCATCTAGCAGCCACCTGCCTGCCTATATGCACCCTCACCATCCAATAAAAGCCCCTCGGCTGTGGCAAAAAAAAAAAAAGGATTTAATAAAATTCAACATCCCTTCATGATACAAATTCTTGGCCAGGTGTGGTGGCTCATGCCTGTAATCCCAGCACTTTGGGAGGCTGAGGCGTGCAGATCACCTGAGGTCAGGAGTTCGGACCAGCTTGACCAACATGGAGAAACCCCATCTCTACTAAAAATACAAAACTAGCTGAGCATGGTAGCGCATGCCTGTAATCCCAACTACTTGGGAGGCTGAGGCAGGAGAATTGCTTGAACCCGGGAGGGGGAGATTGTGGTAAGCCAAGATCGTGCCATTCCACTCCAGCCTGGGCAACAAGAGTGAAAAAAAATTCAGAACAAACTAGACATAGAAGAAATGTATGTCAACATAATAAACGCCATATATGACAAACACACAGTTAACATCATACAGAATAAGGAAAAGCTGAATGCCTTTTCCCTAAGAATCGGAAGAAGTCAGGGATGCTTACTTTCAGCACTTCTAGTCAACACAGTACTGGAAATCCCAGCCAGAGCAATTAGGCAAAAGAAAGAAATAAAACACATCCAGCCAGAATACAATTTATATGCCTTACTGGCACCATTAAACTTTTAAAAAATTTAAAATAAATAAATAAAAGGCATCCACATTGTAAAGGGGGAGGTCAAATTGTACCTCTTTGCAGATGACATAATCTTGTATCTAGAAGAACAACCTAAAGACTCCACCAAAAAAATTATTAGATCTGATGAGTAAATTTGGTAAAGTTGTAAGATATAAAATCAGCATACAAAAATCAGCAGTGGTTTTGCTTTTTTAAATATGGGGTTTTGCTATGTTGCCTAGGCTGGTCTTGGACTCCTGGGCTCAAGCGATTCCCCCATCTTGGCCTCCCAAAAGGCTAGGATTACAGGCATGAGCCACAGTGCCCGACCTCAAAAATCCATAGTGTTTCTACACACCAATAATAAACTAGCTGAAAAAGAAATCAAGGCAATCCTACTTACAATAATTACAAAAAAATTAAAATACCCAGAAATAAATTTAACCAAGGAGGTGAAAGACCTCTGTAAGGAAAAGTGCCAGATATTGATAAAGAAACTGAAAAGGACACAAACAAATGGAAACACATCCCATGCATATGGAGCAGAAGAATTAGTATTATTAAAACGACCATACTGTCCAAAGCATTCTACAGATTGAATACAATCTGTATCAAAATATCAATGCAATTTTTCCCATAAATAGGAAAAAACAATCCTAAAATTCATGTAGAACCAAAAAGAGCCCAAATAGCCAAAGGAATCCAGAGCAAAAAGAAGAGAGCTTGAGGCACCATACTCCCTGACTTCACAATACATTACAAGCCTATAGTAACCAAGACAGCATGGTATTAGTTTAAAAACAGAAACAGAGACCAGTGGAGCAAAACAACACAGACAGAAATCCACATATTTACAGCTGTCTGATTTTCAACAAAGGTGGGAAGAACACATACTGGGTAAAGAACACTCTCTTCAATAAATTGTGCTAGGAAAACTGGATATGCATATGCAGAAGAATGAAAACGGAGTTTCGCTCTTGTTACCCAGGCTGGAGTGCAATGGCACGATCTCGGCTCACCACAACGTCCGCCTCCTGGGTTCAGGCAATTCTCCTGCCTCAGCCTCCTGAGTAGCTGGGATTACAGGCACGTGCCACCATGCCCAGCTAATGTTTTGTATTTTTAGTAGAGACGGGGTTTCACCATGCTGACCAGGATGGTCTCGATCTCTTGACCTCGTGATCCACCCACCTCGGCCTCCCAAAGTGCTGGGATTATAGGCGTGAGCCACCGCGCCCGGCCTGAGAAATATGTTTTATATGAACAACACCAGGACATAAATCTAGGCAAAGATTTTATGGCTAGGACCTCAAAAGCACAGGCAACAAAAACGAAAATAGACAAGTGGGACCATACTAAACTAAAAATCTTCTGCTCAGCAAAGGAAACAATAGACTGAAGAAAAAGCCTGTTGAATGGGAGAAAGTATCTGCAAACTATTCATCTGACAAGGGGCTAATATCCAGAATATACAGGAAGTCAAAGAACAGTAAAACAGCAACAACAAATAATCTCATTAAAAAGTGGGCAAAGTACATGGATAGACATTTCTTTTTTTTAATTTACTTTTTTTTTTTTTGAAAGATGGGGTCTCACCATATTGGTCAGGCTGGTCTCGAACTTTTGGCCTCAAGTGATCTGCCTGCCTCTGCCTCCCAAAGCGCTGGGATTACAGGTGTGAGCCACCGCGACCGGCTATGAATAGACATTTCTTAAAATAAGACAGACAAATGGCCAACAGGAAATGTTCAACATCACTAATCATCAGAGAAAAGCATATCAGAATCATAATGAGGGGCTGGGTGCGGTGGTTCATGCCTGTAATCCCAGCACTTTGGGAGGCAGAGGCAGGCAGATCACTTGAGGCCAAGAGTTCGAGACCAGCCTGGCCAACATGGGGAAGCCCTGTCTCTACTAAAACACCAAAAGCAATGGCAACAAACGCCAAAATAGACAAATAGGATCTAATTAAACTTCAGAGGTTCTGTACAGCAAAAGACAGAATCATTAGAGCAAACGCAACCAACAGGATGGGAAAAAATTTTTGCAGGCTACCCATCTGACAAAGGGCTAATATACAGAATCTACAAAGAACTGAAACAGATTTACAAGAAAAAAACAAAGCCATCCAAAAGTGGGAGAAGGATATGAAAGACACTTTTCAAAAGAAGACATATTTGAAGCCAACAAACATATGAAAAAATGCTCATCATCACTGGTCATTAGAGAAATGCAAATCAAAATCACATTGAGATACTATCTCACGCTAGTTAGAATGGTGATCATTAAAAAAATCTGGAGACAACAGATGCTGGAGAGGATGTGGAGAAATAGGAACACTGTTACACTGTTGGGAGTGTAAATTGGTTCAACCATTGTGGAAGACAGTGTGGCGATTCTTCTAGGATCTAGAAGTAGGAATTCCATTTCACCTAGCAATTCCATTACTGGGTATATACCCAAAGGACAATAAATCGTTCTATTTCATTTAAACCTGTAAATACGTGTGATGTAGTACTGATAAGAGAGTATATTTTGTGTATTTAAAGTGGAGAGTTCTATCAATGTTAATTAAGTTTACTTGTTCCGGATCTGAGTTCAAGTCCTGCATTTCGATGTTAACTTTCTGTCTCATTGATCTGTCTAATATTGATGTTGAAGTCTCCCACTATTACTGTGTGGGAGTCTAAGTCTCTTTATAAGTCTTATATATCTGGGTATTCCTGTATTGGGTGCATATATATTTAGGATCTTTAGCTCTTCTCGTTGCATTAATCCTTTTATCATTATGTAATATCCTTCTTTGCTTCTTTTGATCTTTGTTGCTTTAAAGTAACTCCTGCTTTTTATTTATTCATTTATTTATGCTCTCCATTTGGTTGGTAAATCTATTTGAGACTCTGTCTCAAATAAATAAAATAATAATAGAGCAGCAGAGCCTAGCGGGCAGGTGGCCAGCGGCGCGTGGCGGAGCGTGGGCGGCCGGCGAAACTCCAAGGGCTGACCGCGTAGGGGAGCGATCCACCCCGGGCTCCAGGAGCCAGAGACCGCAGCGGCTGTGGCTGCTGCACAAAGAGCCCAGGGGACACTGCCCCTGCCTGCACTCTGCCTTGGGCCATCGCTACTCCCCAGGGGTCCGTGCGGACTCACCTCTGTAAAGTGTCACGATGTCTGATGTCTGATCAGAAGGCAGTAATCAAGAACGCAGACATGTCTGAGGACATGCAACAGTATGCTGTTGGCTGCGCCACGCAGGCCAGGCCGAAGTACAACTTAGAGAAGGCCATTGCTGCCTATATCAATAAGGAATTTGACAAGAAATATAACCCTACCTGGCATTGTTTCGTGGGCCGAAAATTTGGCAGCTATGTCACACACGAGACAAAGCGCTTCATCTATTTTTATTTGGGTCAAGTTGCAATCCTCCTCTTCAAGTCAGGCTAGTTGGCCGTGGTGAAGGTGTCAGTGGCTGTGGCAGCGATGGCAAGCAGGTGGTGTTGCTGGGACTGTTTTGCACTGGGGCCAGCATCAGGATATCCTCTCTAATGGCTGTTCTACCCTACTGCATGGACTGTATACTCTATTTCTTGTGTACGTCGCAGTAAACAAAACCAAACCTCTTTCTGTTTTGTTTCCTGGGGAAGGCTGCATTATGCTTATTTTTCAAGATTTTAAAAATATTTTTTTTCGGTTGTATTGCACTAGGAAATCTCTCTCACCTCTTCATTTTCTCTCTTTCCCTATACAAAATAAAAAGCCCTCCACAAAGACTAGGTGGCCAAAAGACTAGGAGGGCTGAGGAAAAGAAATAGGTCTCTGGAGGTGAAACTATAACTGTGCAGCTGCCTCTTCCTGGGGAGGCTGCAGGGAGACAGTATTGGGATTGTCAAGGAGAAAGGGATAGGAAGGAAAGTGGAGGGATTGATCTAGTACCAGGGAGAATATTCCACTGAACTGTGATTCTATGGCTTGGGGCAGAGGGTGGGGTGGAGATGCAGTCTTTAGGGGGCCCTGAGAGGTGTTTGTGGTGTGTGGGAGCGGGGAGCAAACTTGTCTTGCTGTCTATGTCAGAATTTCTAAGTAATGGCTGTGTCTTGGTGCATGATCTTTTGTTCCTCCTGCCAGAGATCATAATAGGAGGATGTTGGTGGTAGGATTCACTTTTTTTTTTTTCCTTTACATTCTTCTGTCTGCTCCCTGCTTAGCCCTCAGTTTTCTCATTCCTCTGCAGTTCTCTTAGAGCAGCCCCTGTTGTTAGTTGGCTGGTAAGGGAATTTAAGGTGACTGTAGTTCCTTAGTTAAGTCTTAGCAATCAAACCAAATCAATGTCTCCCTTGAGCCTCCTGTGTATATGTGTGTGTTTGGAGTGGAGAGGGGTGAGGGGAGGGAGTGGGGAGGACCATTTGGAATCTCTAAGGTGTATGGGTAGGTAGGGGGCAAATTAGTTCTAAGTGGGCTTTTATGTTAAAAGCCTCTGGGGATATCTGTTTTAGAAGTAAAGATAGGTGTCATTGCTGTTATTTAGCCCAGACACTCTTGCTTGCTCTCTGGCTATCTGCTCCCTGGGAAGGCTTTAGGAGGACCACCCAGGACAGGATGACCATGCTACCATCTGCTTTGGAGCTGGGTCTCAGGGCAGAGGGACAGTGACTGTGGATGTTTGCAGTCTCTGGTGGGAGGTGAGGATGGATGTGATAAAGAGCTGAGAGGAGCTTCTGGGGAACCTTGGAAAAGGTCAGTCTTGCAGTGATGAAGCCAGGTATCAAAAGATGGAACAAGGCCATGAGGGCATGAGGGAAGGAGATTTCAAGGAGGATGAGGGGAAATCTTGTCTCTTAATGAAATAGGAGTGGGGTGGGGTTTAGGGTTGGGTGGTCATTGCTATTTGAGTTACTGATTCTTATGAGTGGCCTTCAAAACTCTCACGTGTAGGGTTGACAGTGTAAGGGGTGGGGGGACCCAGCTTCTTTTATTTTCAAGTCCATTCTTGGGGCTGGTGGAGAGGCAGGAGAATGCCCCTCCCTAATCCCTTAGTGTGTGCAGAGCTTGCTTTTTGATGTTGGTGGGGAGGAGGGACCTGGGTGGTGACTGAGGTCCCTATATCAAACCCTTCAATAGGCACAGAATTGAGTGCTTGATTTTAGGTTTTATATTTTTACGAATGTCCAAATCTGTTTCCCCCTGACCTCCCAGATTTCGTGGCCAGTTGAAAGTGTCTGGTTTGTGTTCATCTCTCCCTCATTTCTGGAGCAGGGCCTGAGATGCTGCCATATCTCCTATGCTCTGCATCCACGCCTCTTTTGGACATTAAAGGTTGATTGATCCAAAAAAATAATAATACATCATAATGAGGTATCATTTTACCTTAGAATAAGTATTATTAAAAAAAACAAAAAATTACATTTGCTGGTGAGGATATATAGAAAAGGGAACTCAAACTGTTCGTGGAAATATAAATTAGTTCAGCCACTATGGAAAATACAGAAGAAAACTAAAAATAGAACTACCAAAAAGTAAAACAAAAACAAAAACAATACAAAACAAAAAAAGATACAAAAAAAGAAAAAAAAATAGAACTACCATACCACCTAGCAATTTTTCTACTGGGCACTTATCCAAAGGAAATCAGTAGACCAGAAGGATACATGCACTTCCATGTTTCTGACAGCTCTACTGATAACAGCAAAGATAATCAACCTACATGTCTATCAACAGATAAACAAAGGAAATGTGATATACACACACAATGGAGGACTATTCGGCCGTAAAAAAGAATGAAATCATGCTATTTGTGGCAACATGGATGGAACTGGAGGACATTAAGTTAAATAAGCCAGGCACAGACCCATATTACTTGTTCTCACTCATATGTGGGAGCTGAGAAAGTTGATTTCATGGAAGTGGAGTAGAGTGATAGCTATCAGAGGATAGGTAGGGCATATGATGGGAGTGGCTATGAAGAGAGGTTGGTTAATGGGTATAAACATACAGTTAGATAGAATAAGTTCTAATGTTTGATACAAAGTAGCATGACTATAGCTAATAGTTAACAACAATGTATTATATATTTCAAAATAACTAGAAGAAAGGACTTGGAATATTCCTAATATATAGAAATAAATATTCAAGGTGATGGATACCCCAACTACTCTAAACTGATCATCACACATTCTATGCATGTAACAATATCACATGTGCCCCATACATATGTACAAATACTGCATATTAATTAAAATTTGAAAAGCATGACCAAGGTATGTGCTGTTAATGAGAAACCCATTTTAAATATTAAGGTAGGTTAAAAGTGAAAAAATGAGGGGTAAAAACAACAGTGCATGCAAACACTGGCAAACTCCAAACAAGCTCCATCAATAGTTTAGTAATAGTATTGTACCACTGTCAACTTCAAGGTTTCAGTAATAAGGTTATTTAAAACGCTATATTTGGGGGAAGCTGGGTGAGAGTATACAGAACTCTTCTCATGTCTTTACCAGTATCTATAAAACTACAACAGACTATCCTGTTAGATTGTAAATAGGGTAAAATCTAATAGCAGACCTAGCAGTTTCGCTGATAAAGAAATGATGCTGATAGACATGGCTTTCTGGATTAGGAAGGACAAGGCTCTGCAGGCCAGTTCAAGAAAATAAGACTCCCAAGATCCAGTAATGAACACTATTGCCCAATTGGCAGGAGACCCTACTTCTTTCCGTTTAGAGCTGCTAGAAGCAGGACTGAAATAAGTCACCCAAATTGTAGCTTAATTGTTGCCCATTCTCTTCCAGGCAGAAAGAAGAAATGTTATCATGACAATGGAGCAGCAAGTCCCACGGCCCCAGCTAAAAGGCAGTATGGCTGTGGCTGCTGAGGTGGAGAGTCCTCAAAGGTAAATTAATGTCAGCAATGAAGGCTTCACTATTCAATATAGAGCTCTGAGTGACCTGAAGACAGAAGTTAATTTGGTTGAATTAAGCATGAGTGGCCACTTAAAAGTGAGTGAAGGAAAAGCCTTGCCTAATAGTATAAAGCTAAATACCTGGTCCTGTCAATAGTCCAACCTGGTTTATAACCAGGACAGGGCTCTGGGTGCCAGGGTGGACTGCAGGGCAGAACACAGTGGCATGAGCATGGACAGAAAGGGAGTCTGAACCATAATCCCGAAAGACATCCTGAATGCCATAATCTCAAATACTGAAATCCTGAAAGATCAAAATCTCTTCAGTCTAAATATATAGAAAATTGTAATCCCCAAATTTCAAAATCTTGAAAATATAATGCAGGGGGAAAAATCTTAAAAATTATTTTTTAAAAATATTTACATTTTTAAAAGGGGATTTATTTGAGAAACAAAAACATGAGAGAACATTTTGTAGGCCACTTCACACAACGAAATAGGCAATAACGTATTTTTAGGTATACAAATGACAATTGCGTGGATATAACACTTATAAGCAGATGAACTATATTCATAAATGGGTGAAAAAGCAAAATATATAAATGCATATCACTATGGTTAATTGTGTACACCCAGCTTTATAACTGCAGTCATCTGAAATACAATGATAGGCAACATAAGTCTTCTGACGAGATCAATCAAAAACTTCAATGGGGGCCAGGTTCAATGGCTTATGCCTGTAATTTCAGCACTTTGGGAGGCTGAGTTCCCAAAAATTGATGCTTCAGGTCAAGAGTTCGAGACCAGCCTGGTCAACAAGGTGAAACCCTGTCTCTACCAAAAATACAATACCTATGATCCCAGCTAGAGGCCGAGGCCGGAGAATGACTTGAACCCAGGAGGCAGAAATTACAGTAAGCCAAGATCACACCACCGTACTCCAGCCTGGGCAACAGCGCAAGAATCCATTTCAAAAGAAAACAACAAAAAAACCCCCAAAAAACAGAACTTGGCCGGGCATGGTGACTCACGCCCACAATTCCAGCACTTTGGAGGGCTTTGGGAAAACTGAAACCGTTAGGGGTCAGACAGAGGTGAGCTGGCAGGTCTAACAGTCAAAGCTTTAATCACTTACTGAAATAGGAAGAGGTTAAACTAGAGAAAGCACCAACTCTCTTCTGTTCTATCCCAGCCCCCAAGTTTTTGATCAGGAGCTGGACACCTCAAAAATAATGTCACCAGGGCTCTTTAGACCAATTCAATATATGTATAATAGAACTCATATATTTTATGACTGCACTTCTTAGTCTACATCTTATTCCATCTCACTCTTAAGAAGTACTGCACAGACTTACCCCTCCAACCCAGGGGGTCCAGAAGAAGTAATAGAGATCTCTAGGAGGAGAAGTTTCAAAGATTTAATGGCTGCCTGAGTACTCAGAGAGGCAATGGCTCAGCGCTAACAATCCCAACAACTGCCTGACCGAGCCACCATGTACGTCTTAATATGTTAACAAAAGAAGGCAGCTATTAACCTGCTAAGCTTTTGTTGAAACTTCATGTGAGTTATGTTGGTCTTGTGACTCTTTGGCCTGACATTCCCATTTTGGGGTGGGTCAACTTGGACATGATGACTAACAAGGTGAAAATAATCTAACAAGCCTCACTAGTCAAAGAGAAATAGTATAGCTGGCCATAGCAGTTTTCTTTGGTGCTACATGAAAAAATGGCAGCTATCCTTTTGGAGGTAAACTGTATGGTCAACTCCACTGCCCAAAGCAATGCCACTGGTTCAATGGGGACTTTAACTTAGTTTCCCCTAAATTTCTGGGGCTACTTCACAAGTTGTTTGGCTACGATGAAACATAATGGAGTCCCATGAGCTGCTGCTGCTGTGCCAGCAATGTAAAACCAAAAGGAGACGTGGTTGCACCTCTCAATTACCAGAACTCAAGGCAGTCCCCATGGCTCTGGCCAGCACTCCCCCTGATGAACCTCACTATGTTTTAATTAGCTTTGGAGCTGTTGCCAATGATCTATCAGGTCTGCCACATGAAATCATATAGGCTGGCAGATTAAAGCCACTTTGGCCATTAAACTCAGAGAAATTGCTTAACTTTTCCAATAATTAAATAAATGAATATTCAAATTAGATACTTTTTTTTTTTTTTAAATGAAGATGGGGTTTCACCATGTTGGGCAGGCTGTTCTTGAATTCCCGACCTCAGGTGATCTGCCCACCTTGGCCTCCAAAGTGCTTGGATTACAGGCGTGAGCCACCGCGCCCGGCCTAGATACCACTTCTTATACGGGCAAACCTTGGAGATATGGCAGACTCAGTTCCAGACCATCGTGATAAAGTGAGTCACACAAATTTTTGGGTTTCCCAGTGCATATAAAAGTATGTTTACGGGCCCGGCGTGGTGGCTCACACCTGCAATCCCAGCACTTTGGGAGGCCGAGATGGGTGGATCACCTGAGGTCAGGAGTTCAAGACCAGCCTGGCCAACATGGTGACACCCCATTTCTATATTTAAAAAAAAGTATGTTTGCACTATACTGTAGTCTATTAAATGTGCAACACCATGTTGTCTAAAGGAACAATGTACATACTTAATTTAAAAATATTTGCTAAAAAATGCTGACAGAGAGACATGACATGAGCACATGCTGTTGGAAAATGATGCCAGTATAGACTTGTTCAATGCAGGGTTGCCACAAATCTTCAATTTGTCACAAAATAAATAAATAAATAAATAAATAAAAAAATACAGTTATCTGCAATATAAAGCAAAGTATTTGCAAAATAAAGCAAAGTAGAATAAAATGAGGTATGCCTGCAATGACAAAAAATGAAAAGCTCAGCAATATCCAGTATTGGCCAGGGAATGGATGTAAGTTACTTTTAAACACTGTTCCTGGCATGTAAATTGGTGCAATCCTTCTAAA